ACATGAGGTGTTTGTCACCTTCAGCCACAGCCTTTGCAAGTTAATCACTTCTGGGTGGCATTTCAAAAAGCAAGAGAACCTGCTAGGTCGCAGCTGCGTGAGGTTCACTATTTCAGTGGCTGACAACAATGCTCAATCAGAAACAAAATACAGAGACAGCAGTAAAGACTGCACTTGGCATTTCATCTATTCTTGAAATTCTCTCCAATTTTTGATTAAAGATGCAGACTTCCTGCTATGAGCAATGAGAAACAGTGAACCCTGGTGAAATTCCTGGTGACTGAGCTGCACTGGTGTACAAAATGCACATGGTACAGCATAGCTGAGAAGGACAGGCAAGACTAGCAGGCATGCCAGATGCCGTTACTTCAAGCCCTCTAGACAAAAATAATGTCATTGATCAGTATTTCAAGTGACTGCTGACATACTATTAGAATGGCAACCCTTGTGCAGTCTTCCTGTCAGGGATAAGGTCACAAGTAGTCTCTCTGATCCCCAAGAGTGCATTGCTTGAGTTTCAGCAAAGATGCCAGCAACTGGCATCTTTGAGATGAGAAGCGAAATAACCCCTGAGCAGTAGTCTCCACAACTGAAGGCTGAAGGACACGAGCAGTCATCTCGGCTAAAACTTGAACTGTTAAGTTATAACCTTTGGGTTTCTAAACAGAAGACACAATCGTGAACCTTTAAATGGCACTTTTTTTAATGCACTTATCTTAAGGATAAACTGACATTTAACTTGTGATCCATTTTTCCAGCTCTCCTTACTGGAGGGGAAAGTGTTACTGTTTGCAAGTTCAGCAAACCAAGTAGATGGATCATTCAATCTTTTAAAGCCTACTGATGTATCAGAGGTTTCAGTTACCCATCACACACTTCTGTAAGTCTGATCTCAGGCTAGGACTGATGTTCGCCATGCTCAGCAGGCCCTCAGATGCATACAGAGATGACAATGCAGGGCTGTTGTGTGCAGCCCACACTCAGGGAGGCAACTCCTCTTCATAAAGCAACTCTGCTCAAATCCTGGCAGAGGCTTTCACGAGCTGGACATACTTCGCTGTGCAGCAGCTGCAGGATCCTACCTTGGAGCTAACATGGCCCACTGCATTTGTGTTCAATAAGACTGCATGCACCAAAGCACCCTTAGCTCCTTCTCAGCTCAGCAGCTGCACACTGTCCTCTGAAAAAAGGTTATTCAGGGGTTGTTTACTCAGAACAATTATCACATCCACATCAAGAAAAGCAAGTTGGGTTTTTTTTCCATTTTAAGCTGAGCTACATGTATCCTGCCTGGAACCCACTGCAATGGAATAAACGACTCAGAGCTTTTGCCTCCTCCAAGTTTCAGGCAAAACATATTCTTCTTTCCAAGCCTGAAAAAGGGGTGGAGGGCCTAGTTAACATTGCTTTCTCAATACCCCGAGCTGAAGTATTGTCAAATTCCTCATTTCTTGGTCAAAAAATCATATTCAAGAAATTTCATATTCATCTGCTAGATAAGTTTTCCTACAGATTTTCCTGCAGAGTATAGTGACTGCATTTCTCCAGGGGGATGTCTGCTTCCTTTTAAAATAGCTTCTTGTGTAATAGTTCTTTACTGACAGTTCTATTAATCTTCTATGTTACAAAAGCTTGTTTTTAGGAATTCTGTTCTGCAGGACAAATTTGGAAATTAAAGCAAGAACAAAATGTCTTCACATTTAGATTTCGGTGTAAAAAAAGTTAATGTCACAATGCAGATCCCTGCATCATATGACAATTAGCTAATTCTTAATTTCTTCCATCACCATCATCTTAATTGCCATATATTACATACCACCCACAAGAGCCTTCTCATTTCTGCACCTGCTCGGGCTGGCTATTCTATTACTTCAGCAAAAATGAGTTTTCCTTTCTAACACTGAAAGACTAAATGAGCAAGTACAAAAATCCCATTGCCATGAGCCACAACCTTCGCAGCAAAAAGAGCTGTAGGTTTACAGGAAGAGTTCCTTGTGGGTTTTTCCTCCTCATTAAGAGCTTTACCCTTCAAGCTGCAAATCCCTTGGCTCCTGCTCCAGCAAACCACCTAAAACCCTTCACATGGATTATGTGTAGGAAGCAAAAATGTTCTCCTGGATTCTGGCAAAAGGTCTTGGCATATTGTGCAACCAAGCCCCTGGAGCCTAACCAAACATGGAGTGACACCACAGAAACACTCTTTTCACCCCTGGAGGACAGAAGGGACAACATGTGCTCCACTGTACAAAGATCTTTTTTTTTTCTTTCTCCCTGTTGAAGTGGCTGTTGTAATTGACTTTGCAGCTTTTATAACAGTCATCCCAACTTCCCCCACTGCTCTCCCTTCATGAGTACCGTCAGCATTGAAAAAATCTTTGTGGCTATGGCTATTGAACCTGCCTGGCAGTTTCCAGCCACCAGTCGCAAACAGCTGCCTGTACTGGCTGCACAATGGGACTGGTATCACAGGAAGGAGACACAGAATTACATGGTTAACTTAGAGCAGTCAGGTCCACTACGACACACCATCTAAACCCCAAAACTCCTTGCTCTGAAAACAGTGGGAGGAGATACTTATTGCAAAGCAATTGGTATTGCTGCCATACTCAGAAAGGCAAAAAACAGGAATTAACACCAGCAATACTTGCACATGCATTACAGTTTAAGAGTGTGTTTTGAAATGCTACTTAATGTTTGGGGCAGATTATCCTACTGGAGGAAACATAAATCCTTGCAACTCATTTGGACTATCGTGACTAGAAAAAAAACCCTCAACTAGACTATGTTCCTATACTCCATTCAAGGTGGTCAGACTTCCCTGAGCATTAAAGACTTATGCTCCCTGTGGGTCACTGTGGGCTAGTTACTAAGAAAAATACAAAAGCCCTGTCCTGCCACCTTAACTCAGATTTATTCCAACCACTTTTTCATTATTTGGACAAAGGTGGCAGAAGCAACTTTTAGAGCCAGTGACAGAGCCAAATTCGAAAATTGTAATTATAAATAAAATACAACATGCAGAGCTTTTCATTTATAGCTCTCAAACTAGTTTACCAAAACAAACATGACAAATGAGATTTTTAGAAAAAAAACCTCAGTCAAGTGACATGCCCAGAGCTGTGCTGCTCACCAGGAGCAGAGAGAAACAGAAATCAAGACTACCTGACTAATTCAAATACTTCTTTCCTCAGTCACTTGCCAGGCCTTCAAAAGCACAGTATACAGTTTTTAGGGCTATACATGAAATTGGATTACGCCCCTGCGTTTCTGGCAAGTCGCCTGCATGACCCTCAGTCTAACAAAACTTGCCTTGATCTGAAGTGACTGCCCATACACAGTCCAGTGAGGCATTTTGCAGATGCTCATTAATGGCTTTTGTTGTATTCTGTCTCTCCCTCTGAAAACATCTTAAACAACTAACTCTGGACAGAGAGATAATAGATAATTAGATAAGAGATAATTTGGGGGCTAAATCAGTTAACTGCAAGTAAGATGGTTTGCATACTAGATATGCCCCACTAATGAAGTCTTTTGCTCTTCATTAACTAAAAGATATTGACATTAAATAATGTATAACACAGGGATCTTCCAAAGTGTACACTTCAGATCCAAGCACAGCAGTAGCCAAGATACTTTTGCAAGCTTCTACACCAAAAATCAATGTAATGCTCAAAGTCCTTGCTTCTTGCTTCATCATTCTGGCTCCCATAAACACAAGCTCCCCTGGAATTCTCCTTTTGGGGTTTTGGGTTCTTCCCCTCCCCAACAAAAAACATGGTGAACAACATTTTAAAACCATACATTGAGCCTCATGTGATTGAATACAATTGATCTAACTGGCTGAAATCACTGCCACTTTCTTCATATGCCATGGAGCTCAACCAGCAAAAGACACGGTGTTCTTCAACTAAGGACACGGTGACACGTGTTTCATTAGGAAAGGGGGAAGCAATGAAAAAGGACATATGTTAGGTGGAAAGTGAAAATATTTTAAAGGGCAAGGGGGGGTGTGTGTGTGTGAAGTCCAAGAAGACAATTTCCAAGGAAGAACAGCCAGTAGAATGAGAGCAGAAACAGAAGCAGAGTGAAAATCCTACTGATTCTGTATGAATACAGAAAAAAGAACAGCAGGAAATTAAAAAGAATAAGAAAGAAACACAGTAAAAAAAAAAGAGAAGGGGAAACAGAAACAATATGACTTGGGTTTTTTTTGCTTCTCCCAGTGATACAGCTACAGCCATAGAAACTTCCAGTTCATGTGTACTGCAAAAGTGAGAAAATTTGCTGGTGACATCCGAGGTAAAAATGAGTTGCCTTTCCCTCACATGAGGATATTAGCATCAACTGAAGAAATTCCTAATGCATTGTTTGTTCTTCCAGCCATTCATCTCGCACACTACTGCACAGCAGAGTTGGGTTTGTTGCTTCCAAAGCAGGACTGCACCCGTCTGTCCAAAGCAGCCCAGACAGTATTTCTGGGCTTTGAGACCTGCTGAGCAGAACTTCACCACTTAATTCTTCCTACTACAGCCACAAAGGAGAGCAGCCAGGAGACACCTTGGCTCTAGAGATGCCACAAACAGGCATTGTCTCAGAACTAAATAAAAAGGGACATTTTTCACAAAGTAGTATCTCAGAAGAGTGGATAAAGATTTACAGGGCTGAACCTATGTACATTCATAACTCTGCCTTTCAGTAACACCACTAGAGTTTGTGAACACAGTGTACAGCTTAAGTCCTGTAAAAGAACTAAGACCAAAGGGTCCTCTAGATAAGCTGGTCTAACACCTGAATTTACATACAGCTGGACACTGCGTGGAAATTTTGTGGGTGTTCAGACTAAGCAAGTTACAGCAGCCACTACATTGCTTCCATCAGTCATTTCTAGACCATTATACCCAAATCCTGACTTTATTTCTTTTCATGTTGCTTGCAGAAAAGAAACCTCTAAACTCTACCACTGTACCATTAACTATTGTCCTCTACGAGATCTGAAAAGCATGAAGGCTGTAGCGCTCTTCATTTGTCTTATAGGATCAGCTTTTGCTATTCCAGTAAGTTCTCATCATGCTATTATTACTGGGCACTTAATTTCCCGTTCTGTGAATACTCTATGTTATCCCATTGACCTATACAAGATTTTTATTTACGTGCTGATATTGAATATATTTGTCTATTCTAGACCCATCCCTTAAACTACAAACTCGGAACCCATGGACATAAAACTCCAGAAAAGGTACTCTTCTTGTTCTTTAAGCATTAAGAGGCAACCTATATTATTCATCTCAAATACATAAAATACATTAGCACATATATAGTGGTTGGCAAATTGATTTAGGTTAAAAAAATGTAGGCCCCCCTCACCCTGAGAATTAGTACCAAGCATCTCATGCCTCACATATTACATAGCTAGAAACAGAACAGGACAAAATCTAAAGCTCACAGCAGAATTTTCATTTATTTGAAAAAATTACCTTAGATGAATCCCCACATATTACACCCATATTCGTACAAACAATAAGCTCCACTGACAGTGAAACTTGTGATTATCGCTGCTCCAGTAAACAAGGAGGATGCAATCTTCTATTTACCACACCAAGCAATCATATGGAATCTCAAACATGTAAGAATTTTAGCCACCATGTTTCATTATTCACAATACAGAGCATTAGATACAGCTCATCTTGGAAAAGTACACTGTGGCTGACAAGCCAAATACACAGCCCTGATGGTAATAAGACAGGTGACTTCAGCAGCCCTATGCCATATATGCATGCCAATGACAAAGCTCACAATTTTGCATTCATGGTTGGCCCAAATTAGAATTCCTTTTTATTGCACCATTCTGGTGAGCGTTTGTGGTTCAGACACATTGAATGTAGCTCCAAGCCAATGAATGTTTTGGAACAACTAAATTCAGAGCATGCTCTGTAGTAAGAAATGCAAAATCCCAACTCTTATGCTAACCTTTTTTTTTAATTACAAATTATATTCCACTCTGTGCAGCTTTCCAGGCGCACTTCATGTCAATCCAGATGGTGCTTTGCATTATGAAAACCAAAAAAATCAACTTTTCCTAATGAAGTATCCAGCAGAACAAATTACGGTATAAACACTAGTTTGCAGCCTACAGCTGTCTCCCAGAAACAACTCATACAGAAGGCACTTGCATCAAAACATTGCAATACCCAATGAATCATCAGTTCCAAGTGAATATGCAGCATCTATTAAAGGCCAGTTGTCCCCTAACAGTAGCTAATTAAAGCTATATTGACTGAAATTTGCCATCATATTAGGAGACCCAAGTATCTTCGCAAGAAACCGAGTTCTAAAAGTTTATCTTATCCTAGGGACAAAGGTATAACAAAAAGCAGCAGCTGAAAGCCACATTCAGGCACATCTCTGCATTGAGGTGGTGGCACATAACAAGGCTTCCTGTCAAGACATGAGCCACATCTTTCTCAAACTACTGCTTCAAATACAGGCATCCATAATAGACAATCTTAATGACTGTTTGGCCTTATATTTTCTAACTCTATAGAACTGGAAGCCTGAAGAACAGAAGACTGCTTTTTGCTTAAAGACATATAATATGTTGTGCACAGCAGTGCCCAAACACATATAAAAAAACCTCTGTTCTTGAAACTTAATTTTCAAATGTTTTAGTATCAGCTTGAGATGCTTGGTAACACATAGATCACTTTTTATAAGGTCTTCAAGAAATGCGCATTTAATCTGGAAAAGCTCTTCACTGAATTTCTGTTGGATTTGAGCAAACATACAATCTTTCCCTGAAAAAGTTGAGTTGGAAATGACATAGTGAATATATTGCCTAGTACTTTTCCTGCATCAGCAAGTACACTAGGCAAAAGACAAACTTGTAAAACATTCAGATACCACCTTGACATTACAAAATAGGATATAGCTGATCTGCCAAAAGCCAAATTAATATTTCTAATCCTACCTTTTTTTTTTTTAATTTGTATAAGTATTTGTTAGTGGAGTGTTTGTTTCCACGCAGTCATGACTCTGCCCACGCTAAGGGAAATGCTATTCCAACAACTTGGGCACTGAGAAGGTCTCAACTTCATAAATAAACCACCCAAAAGCTTTAAGGAAAATCAGCATCAGGTGCTATATTGTATTAAGCAATAAGCAACACTGAACATCCATAGGCATTCAGAAATACATCAGATGTTGCTGCTATCGGAGGTGCCTGTACTCACCCAGCAGCTGCTGTGATGCTAACAGCAGCAGAAAGGCAATTACTGCAGCAAGAGCTAACAGTCATTTTAGTACCTGCTTTCTCCTCAAGCATTTGAACCTTTTCCACTGAAGTTACTAGTTTTGCTATTGGCTTGACAGCATGCGAAAAGAAAAAAAAGCCACTCAAACACCTACGACTCCTGCTAGTGAGCTTATGATACAGTAGTTGCCACCAAATAGAACAGTTCCTGATTAATTCAGCTAGGAAGCAATGATGTATCAGATGTATCAGACTCAAAGTAGATGAATCAATTTAATTGATTATGAAATAGTTAAGATGCAGTGCGCTCCTCAGGAATTACTACCACAACAGCTTGTGAAAGGTGCTTTCTCTCCCCCAGCCCTCTTTTCCCAGGCGACCCATTTATCTGTGTAGAAAGATGAGTATCACATCCCACTTCTCTGAGGTAAGCGATAATTACTGCAGCCTACAAGTACATGAAGTTATGACACTAAATTACTAATTAAGCATTTTGAGATTTCACAAGACACCCATATGCATCTATCTCCTGTAAGATCTTAAACAGAGTTGCATAGACTTCTTCAGAAACTCCAGCAATAAAAGAAGGGACAGAAAAAAATTTGCTGAGAAATGGAAATGACATCAGCTGTGAATTTCATGCTCTGGGCTAGCTTAAGAGGAGCATTTACAAAGAAAACAAAATCAGTGTCATGCTTTGCAATACAAGGCAAAAACAACATTGACTTCAAATAAATTCTAAGATTTATTAATCTACTTGTTAATTTATTTTTTTTTAAGACTGAATATATTAATCCTGAAGCCCCAAAGGAAGAGAACGCAGGTTATGTAGAGAAGAGTGATTTGCTGCCCAGTCACAAAAACCTAAAACCAGAGGTATCAGTACCAGACGCTGAGCACCGCGATGAGCTCCAGACCACTAGAAAACAAGGAAGAACTGGTAGCGAGCATCAAGTGAAAAATAGCCTAAAAAGCATCAATTTCCTTGCGCTGCACAAGAAACCAGGTTTGGCTTCTGATAATCAGGACAGTGACTCTGGAAGCAGCAGCAGAGAACAGTCCAGCTCTGAGCACTACCAGTTCAGGAGGCATGAGAAACACAGCAATACAGCCAGTCGACATGTTCTGAGCAATGCAGAAAATCCAGTGGACGCTCTCAGTCTTGATCATGAGCATAACATGTGGAAATATAATAAAAATACAGTTGGCCTATCTGAAAAAAACAGTGAAAGCGATGAAGGTGTGGAAGAAGAGGATGAGGAATGGGGTGAAGAAACTGATTACAGAGATATGAAGCACAATGGCCACCAGACAAATCAAGGTAACCAATACAAAAAACAGCAAAATGAAAACAGTATGCAATCTGATGAAATCCTGAGAGATTCCAGTCAACCAATCCGGTTAACCAAGAGACACGGTGAGAAATTTGACCTAGAGGAAGAAGAGAGGGAAAACAGCCAGAAGAAGCCCGATAAAGAAGAAATCCCCCTCTCTCAGAAAACCCATAACGAAGATCAGGATGACAAATGGCAAAGCCAAGAGAGGAAAGACAATATTCAAGTAAACTATCAGAGTGATCACGACACAGTGGTGAAAAGACAAGATACAGAGGACAGTAATGTTGATGATGATGGTCACGACAGTGTTGATGGCAAGGAAGATCTCAGCAATACCTGGAAAGAAGCAGCCTACGAGGAAGAGGAGAGAATCCAGAGTAATGACCAGGACAGCACCAGTACTGAGCACGAAGGGGAAGGAACCACCAAAGATGACACTGCAGTTCACAGAGAGACTGAGGATTACCAAGATGTCAAGATTAAAGACCTTATTCACTCTGAACAAGATTATTACAATCATGAGCCACCTAATTCTGACAGCAAGCAACAACTGGAAACGAGTAGCTCTGTTCAGAGCATGAATTCAATGGGAAGTGAAGATAAGGTAAATTCTCTTTAAAATAAAGTTGGAATAATGAAAAAGGAGGGGGAGGAACCAGGCCCAAATTTAAATTCCTGATAATTGAAAGGACATTTTGGAGAAAAACAGGTTTAATGATTTATTAATATGCAGAAGTCTCATCTCCCCTTTTATTCACTATTCATCTGGTTCATGCTGCGTCACTTCACATATAACATTTAGATGAATGGTACCAGAAAGGAAGTGAGCAAAACTCATGTAAGAGCTCCAGCCCCAATGGGCTGTGTAATGAAACATACAAATAAATATGGATACACAGATACAAAACCTGGAACCCAGTCTCAAGCCGACTAGGAAAGCCTGTTCACTCCTCTCTCCTGAAGATTTTAAACACTACCATACAAAAGTGAACAGCTTGGAAAGGCAATCCCTGGAATAATTACCATCCTAGTGGCTAGGGCACTTTCACACAAGATGAAGGATGTGGGCTTTGTGCCTTCAGACAAAGGAGGATGTTGCACCCAGATCTGCCGTACCGCAGTCAGCCATTAGATAACCAGTGGACTATCAGGGATGTTCTTCAAAAGAAAGGAGTGTTCCTATGGCTGTTAAATACGGATCTGTAATATTAAAAAAAATGATAGGAGGCATCCACTAGAAAGAGGGCAGGCACCTCTCCACAGCACCAAAGAAGGGTCAGAACTAAAGACACATCTTTCCCTTCTCCTCCTGCTCCATGTGTCTGGCCTGGCAGCTCACGGCGCTGCTGCTCCCAGGTACTATTGAGAGGCAGTTCAGGCTCACTGACCTGGAGGGCCTCAGTGCAAACTAAGACTTAAAGCACCAATTCTGCCAACCTCAAGGCACTAGACTGCTGTATGTCAAGTACTGCAGAATCTCCAGGTGCTCAGGCCTTACTGAGCCCCTGTTTCTCTCTCTCCACCTCCTACTTTTTTTTTTTCTGAATAACAGAGCACCTTAATACTACCAGAGGCTTTATGCACTTCTCACGCATTTTGCATAGCAACTTCTTTCTGCTGCAAGCAGAGCACACTGTGCCTCAGTCAGCTCTATATTTATACCTGACAAAATTTTGTCCAAGTATTTTTTTCTTGCCAAGATTTACTACAGCTTCTGCTTATGTCTCTGTGACTGTACAGGTTAAGACTATAGGCAGTTCCTATGGTGAGATGGAAAGTGCAAGCAACAGGAGTGAGAAGGCTCTCCTGGGTAAGCCACAAGCAAAGCTATCATGTAACTCTCTGCAGCTGGGGAATCTGCTGGCCTGCAGTTCTTTTCTGCCTTTGGCAGTACACATTTCACATGACTGAACTGCACTTGTGCATAATCCTGCATCACAGTTATGTTCCCAGAGAATCCCTTCCCTTGGATTTACTCATTTGTTTGTGAAAAACATTTGTAGACAGTGCACAATTTTTTTTGTCAGTTATACAGGAATGGGAATTACCTTGCATTGAAACCATTCAGTTTCAGAACAGTAGCTTGTATTCAGCTAGGAGTGGGACAAGTGCCAGTGCTGGATTCAGCAAGGACAGATGGGGTATGTTTCACCAAAGGAAGCTGGAAGTGAATGTCAGTCCTTATAGAAGAAATAGCTTTTTCTGAGAAATTTATTTCCCCATCCAACTCAAACTTGACTGTTAGAAGTCTCTCAAAAATCCTCATTTAAAGTTTGGCTTGCTTTATTCAATACAAGATCCAGCTGCATTTTAACAAACTTACAAAAAGCACTTGACTTCTTGGTGAATATTGGGCTGTATTTTGCTTTGACTGTCAGTAGTACCGGACAGAAACACCTGGCTTCGTCCTGTCCCCTCTAACAGTCCCTCCTTGCTATGATTGCTAGACCCATGTAGGAACTTCCACTGCAAAAGAGGTAAAGTCTGCCATGTGGACAAACAAGGGAAACCCAGCTGTATCTGCCAAGATCCTGCTGCTTGCCCTTCCACCAAAGACTATGAGCATGTAAGTATTTCATTCAGTGCACAGCATGGGGAAAAGCCAACTAAAATGTTTACAAGATAACACATTCCCTTGCTATTATTTAGAGTAATTCTAGCCTAAAAAGCATGCAAGTGGGTTTGGGTGATTCCAGTAATTGTAAAAGTATAAAGTACCTAAACTCAGTGACTATAGCTTGAGAATAGTATGAACACATGTAGCTATGTAGTACCTAAAGTGATTTGCTTCATTTAGTCTCTCAGGGATCATAACTTTTCCCTGTCACTAGAAGTTCTATTGATCCATTTGATGTTTTGGAGCATAGACTGAATACCAGTACATATCTAGTGTGATAATCCTGTACCATCTCAGAAACTATACTACTGTCACACAAAAATAAATTCAAGTGTCTCGAAACTGGGTGTGTAAGTATAGACAACTAATCCTTATGTAGGCATATAACAACTACAATTTTCAGTACTTCCGATCACATGTATTCCCTGTGGGTATTCACAACTGCTACACCATATGTTAACAATACTTTTATTATTGTAATGCCTATATGAGTGACCAGAATTTTTCTCAACACAGTGGTGGGGGTGGTTTTGTTTTTCACTCCTCCTCTAGGTTTGTGGTACAGATAATAAGACTTATGATGGCACATGTCAACTCTTTGGCACCAAATGTCAACTTGAAGGGACAAAAATGGGACGCCAGCTGCACCTAGACTATATGGGCTCCTGCAAATGTAAGGCTCGTTTTTCTATGAAGAATTCACCTAGGTATAAAGAGCCAGTAGCCTTAACAACCAGCTAGCCCTAAGTTATCTGCTTTCATGCTGTGCTCTCCCCCTTCTGCATCAATTATCTGCTAATTAAGACCTTCAAACACTAAACATGTCTAAAAAGTCACTTTTTCTATAATTAAGGGTATTAAGCATCTGAATGCTAAAGACATCCCTCCTGTGCTTACACCAATTTGTTGTCAACCCTGTCTTCCCCTGCACTCTTACATGCTCCCATTGCTACAGCATCTGAAGATTTTTTTTAACACCTTGACCAGAAAACCAGTATTTACAGCCAGTTAATAAATGAAAATGTCAAGTCCAAAAAAACCCATAAAAATCTACTTCGATGCCAAATGCAGAAGTCAGGATCTAAAAGCCAGAACTGATTTCCAAGCCCTTCAATTGCTGCATACCCTAGGAGGAAAGCGCACTCTTAGCCAGAATATTCCTTTGCTGCTGAGAACTCTGTTTTCACGCAACTGACTGGTAACAGTTTCACTGCACAACTGTGCTCAGAAGCTGCACAGATAAAGGTTGTGTCTTGCACAACTGGTTAAACATGTGCACCAAAGAATGGTAGATTTATAGTTGAACCCATTAGTTGCACTCCTAGTTTTATGTATTAACAGTTCCATCAATTTTAAGCTTAACTGGAAGTTTGCTAGTGAGAATCAAATCTAACTTGGCTCAGAAATGCTTGAATGGGGACTTAACAGATCACTTGTTAACAAAAGCTTTCCTGTTTGGCACAGACATTCCCCACTGTACTGATTATGAAGTGGATCAGTTCCCCCTCCGGATGCGAGACTGGCTCAAAAACATCCTTATGCAATATTACGAACGTGATCTGGATACTTCTGGATTTCTAACTGAAAAGCAAAGGAGTAAGGTCAGCAATTCTTTTCAAATAAGACCATGCAGTTACATTGTTAGAGCCGGACTAACCATGTGAAAAAAAGTGATTCACATCTTACAAGTTCTCCCATTTCCTATGACCATTCCATTTTTGGTTAAGGCAATTTAGACTAAATTAGATTCACAAGTTGCAAAATACACTTACATGTCCCCTCACACTCATTTAAGCTGAGACACATTTCTGCTATGAGTGTTCCTTTTGTCCGAGCAAATGTAAGCCAAGTGTATTACTTTGAAGTCAGTGTCTACAGGCAAGAGGCAGAAAAGTCAGAATTAGTGCACACCTAGATAAACATCGTTTGCTTGAGAAGACACAAAAGAGCTTTGAAGGAACTGCTTTGTGACAAGTCTCTTGGAAAGATCAACTAATACGTAGATAAGGATGACCCAGTTCATGCAGTCAATGCCGTTTTCCAAAGGACTTGAGAAAACTAAGCAGCCATAGCATAAGATGGAAAGTCTGGCTATGGATAACTAATTAAAAGACAGAATAAGAGGGAACAGCCAGCCAAGAACTCACCTGTGGAACCCCACAAGTTGAAAGGACTTGTGCCATTCAGCTTTCGTTAAGTGACCTGGAAGAGGAAGGTGAGGGACAAAGTCTGGTGACAATGCACAGGTATTCAAAGGAAGGAAGGAAGGACTTGGAATCGTCATGAAGAAAACCACTCAAACCTCATGAGACTGAGCAACCAGGCAGTCACACAGCAGGATTCAAGACAGAATTACAATAGAGAGTTTAGGGGACCCTCATGGGGGCAGGGGATCCCTGCCTTGGACAGACCAAAAGTAGCTCCTCTTCTGTTCTTGAGACACACCTTGTACTTGGCCATCAATACAGAAGTATCTGAAAATGGACTCAACAGTTAAGGGTATCATTTGCACTTTTTAATCCGGCCACATACTGTCCATCTACACCATGATATTCAAGGGCTACAAAATTACACAAGTCTGATGCTTAGTTTTAAGAGAAAAGAGCTGCTTTCTACCATCCAGTAGACCTGCAGCATCACACTACATTGGCTTAAAATGGAGTCAGCATTTATTACCATTGGGCCTTTTTTTTTTTTTAGAGAAGGATTTACGTCAAGTGAATTGGTGACAGTAGTTTGTTTTTGAAGATATAGATGCCATAACTGCCTAAAAAGCCATAACTGTTAGAAAATAGTTTTAAGTTAAACCAGACCTGGGCTGCTCTAACTCTGGAGTAGGAGATGCATGCAGTAGGTCACAGCAGGTTTATAGAAAATATACTTGAGCGACATCAAAGACTACTTATGCAGTTACCAAGAGGGACATTGACCTACCCGGAACATCTCATACTAAATGGTACGAATTAGCTAATTTCTGAGATGGCTTATTTCACACCAAAAGCTGAGTTGCTTGCCTCAGGACAGAAGCTCATTAAATGTGATTGGTTTCATCTCCTACCAACCTGAGGCTACTGTCCTGCTTAGCCAAGTCTGATGATTAGGCCACAGGAATTTCACTTCCTTTCTAGTTACTACCAAAGTTGACATGGACAGCAACAAAAATCATCTGGACTACTTGATGCAAGCTTTTCATGCTGTGTATAGTCACAAACACTAAACCCCATTTCCCCACTAGTATTTTATTGTTTCATTTCTCCAAACCACCTCCTTGCTGGATAGTTCTCTTCAGGACAGATCTTTATCCCTAAACAAAAAATATCAATTTCTGTTGTATTCAGGTCAAAAAAATCTACCAGAATGACAAGCGCCTCGTGGCTGGCAACCATGCAGTTGAGCTGCTCCTGCATGACTTTGAGAAAAATTATCACATGTATGTGTATCCTGTACACTGGCAATTTCATCAGCTTGATCAGCACCCTGTTGACAGGTAAAAAGAAAAATCTTTGCAGATTCAGTTCCAATTTGCTGTTTAAACTCAGGCTGTTTTACTTTTCTAAACCACTTGAAGGATTCTCTACATACAGGACCAGTCCCTCAGCTGATAGAAGCCAGTATCCCCCTCTAAGGAGGCATTCATCTCTAACACAGAACTTCTCTCACTGTTTTGCTGGAGCCATGTCTTAGGTCAGAACCTGCTATCCTCTTGCCTTTCATAATCATCATCTATTACACCTTAAGCTCTAAAGTGTCTTAATAGCTACTAATGCCCTGATCCTGGAAGAAAACAAGGCTCATGAGATCCTGTTATTACTGAAGCTGAGAGCAACAGGCTAAGTACAAAGGGCAGAGGCCTGTCGGCAATAATTCACTAGTGAGGTACCCATAGTTTTCAACTAATTCTACAGAAGTCTCTCGGTTTAAGGAGCAGATATAGTAAGACAGCACCAGTGTCACAGTTCAGAGGAAGCCCCCAGCTTCTGAGAACGTGACTCAGATTTCAAGCTTTTGGTCATGACGCTTGGTGGCGAGATCCATGTTTCAAGGCTGCAGGCCCTCAGTACCTCATGCTGATCACACCTGCTGTCTTAGAACATAGCTAAGCACCTTTGCAAGCTTGATCTCCTGAAGATTAACGGCAAAACTCCACAACTGATGAGCTGTGAACAAGTCACAGTAATACTTGTTCTAGAAAAAAAAGTTAGCGAACAAATAGCAGTTAAAACATTTTAGTTTATCAGGTATTATACATCATTGTAATGACCTGGGACAGATTCACTACAGAAGCACCACAACAGCCCTTGGCCCCCTCCTCTTTATCTAGTGAGGATATATCAAGCTGTAGCCCTATATGTAGTACAACAGAATCCACCGTAGCATGTCAAAGCTACTGGTGCCATCTTCTAGCAGCTTAGATCATTTTTGATGATCCTGATGATTTGTTAATGAAATACATCTCTACATACCTCCTCTTTCTTTCAGATTATTAACACACTCAGAGCTCGCGCCTTTGAGAGCCTCCCTTGTTCCCATGGAACACTGCATAACCCGTTTCTTCCAAGAGTGCGATGGAGACCAAGACAAACTCATTGCTTTGAAGGAATGGTGCCACTGCTTTGGGATTAAGGAAGGTAAACCTAAAAGAACAGGCAGATGTACAGGACAGAATGTTCCTATCAAGACTAGGCATATTCTCAGACCACAACATACAGGAAAGAAATTGGAGCCAGAAGCTCATGGCTACTGTGCACGGAGGCAAATGGAACAGTAACAAGATGACTGCACAAGATGCAAGGTTCTGAATTGTTTTATAAAAACTAGGAAAAAGTTATCTTTTCCATGAGGAAAAATTTGGAAGGTAGTTTGTACTAAATATCAAATCATTCCTGTGTAGTGTCTGAACCTATATGTTCTGCATGTCTGCCTCTCAAGAAACACTATTTTACTCTTCAGGGCCAAAGGAAAGGTAAAGCACGCTTGTACTTTTAAATCAGTGGTCAAAGCATATTGACTGAAAATGCATTTAAAGATCTCAAGCCAAGTAGGGAAAACAACCAAGATCTCTCACTGATAAAGTAACTATGCTCACCTCTAGATTACTATATACAACACAAATGCTGTCATCACGCTGTAGTTGCAGGCCAAACCATCTATTTTACCTAATCTGTCAGATACAACACATGCTCAGATGGTGCCCACCAGACTGCATGAATCAGGAGACTTAGGCAGAGGCAGGGACAGTTTCCGAATCCTAAATGGACTAGCCATATGTTTGGTTCAGCTCAATCCACATCAAGACTTCTCTAGGAAAGTGAAAAGCTAGGTACTACTGTGCTGGTGATGTCTCCAGAATTAGGCAGCAGCTGAACAGAAGCTGTCGTGATAGCAATTTGAGATTTTCACGACTACATTCAACCTAAGGCATTCCTTTGCAATCTACCTTCTGATCTAGCCCTGAGTCACAGCTGAACAATACTGCCAGTCATTAAGCAAGGGTAGCAGTAGCACAGGTTAATCCCAGAACCCTTATGTGACAGAAGGCATTTGGTTAAACACACGGACTGAAGAATGTGTTCAAAATCCTACTAGCAACTCCCTAATTTTAAGTGGATGCTGCTTCTGGTCAGAGGTCAGACATGCAGAGCCTTCACTCTTCCCAGAATTTTTCCAGCTCTTCTGATGACAATTTACCAGTCACAAACCACGTGTGGAAGTAAGCTGCAACGAGTTTTCATAATACACATGTACTGCTGCCAATGATTGTTCATCCAAAGAGGGGTTTAGTGTCAGTCATTTGTGAAGAGGGGAGTGGAAGGGATTCTTGACTCACAAATAGATCAAGGAGACCTAACACTAGAAACAAGAAAGCACCTATCAAGAAAGGTCTAAATGAATGGCTCCTGAATATGATAGCAGCAACCATACTTGGTTTTTGTTAGGGATAGCGTTCCCCTACATGAGGCCTCTGAAACTTTAGTGTACCACTTTCTTGATAGTGATACAGCATAAAAATGTCTCTTTGGCATCAAATGTTAATAACTTTTTCTACTTTGTTGCAGAAGACATAAATGAAAATCTCCTGGTCTGAGCCTGGCTGAACAGAATCCCAGTGCTGCACTAAAACTGGTGAAATATGTGAATCCCATTTATTTCTGTAATTAACAGCTTCATAGTTTTCAAGACAAAGGTGGCATAAGGTTCACTGCATTCTTATCAAATAACACAAGTGCAGAAAAGTTCTACATTCATTAACAGCAGAAAAATTTAACTACTCCAAGTGGTTCATAGCTAAACAACCAGTGTTTTCCCCCGCATGTATCCATGATCTCTTTGAACCAATAAATAGTACTAACCTGATGACTGAGCTGTTCACAAAACTCTTCAGCAAAATTAAGATGTGGATTTTACCATAGACTGAAGAAAATTACCTTGAAATAGGACTTTTTTCCTTTATTTACTGTATTGTCAGTTTAACATTCTGCATAGAAGCCTCAAATAAAACAAAAGTCTACCAAGAGATATGGGTTTTGTCAGAATTTCGTCAAAGAAAAGGTATTAAGGCAATGGTTCAATGAAAATTTCCTTTTAGATTTAAGGGAAGAGAAGAAACTAGACTGTAGATCATATACACCAGCCCTTAAACCACAATTCCTAAAATACATGAAAAAATCAGCGCTTTTCAGATACTTCTTCCCCCACCTCTTGAAATGCAACAGTAATAGTACCAATGCCACACAGCAGAATTTCTTCTGACAAACTGTGTATGAGCTATTGTATAAGCACGGTGAGTGTGGATGCATGTCAAAAGACTGATTAGCAACAGGTCCACCATCACAAGGAGCAGAGGATATCACAGCTCCAACACCTCCTTATTCTCCTTAGCAGGCACATTCTTCCTTCCTCCCACAGAAGCACCAATTACTGCTACCATTTTTCCTGAGAAAGAAATGCTAACTATTTCTTTCATCTCCCAACTTTTGCTTGCCTGAAGACAGGCACAATGTAGGCATAAAAAACAGGACAGAATGAGATTATTCCTGAATCCCATTAACTTTGTGATTTTAAGCCAAGCACTTCACTGAAAACACTCCAGGCATGCTCTGCTGTAAGAAAGAAGCCCCAAATGCTATTCCTACAAAGGAAGATCAGAAAACACCTTTCACCTGAACCATGTCACCTTTCCAATGAAAAGAAAATGGGATTCAGAAATGCTGTTTTGGTAGCTTATACAGAGGAAGTCCACTTGCCCCTTACTAATTTTCTCTTGAAACAGCAAGGGCTGCTAATCCTAGTCCAACTCCAGCCTGATGCCCTGAGAGACAATGAATCAAGCTACAATTATTTTCAACACAGGAACTTCTTACACAAATAAGATTATTTCCCACCAAAACCAGTTTCACTGACAGTTTCTCCCATAAGCCTGACTTGTCACCCACTTCACATTCTACAACATCACACAGCAGTATATATAAATCAACCTGGATTGCATATACAAAAGCATATTTTCTGTGCTAATTCCATTTGAAGAAGACCCTTTCTCTGGGACTTCAAATGTCTCAGGGAAAAAGTAATTGTGACAGCATTTTTTTTCTGCCTGACTGCAGCCTATTGCTTATTTGCTCTTTCTACAGCCAAGAGTCAACCACCTTAAAACAAATACAGTTCACACAAAGACAACTCACGAGGGATTGACCTATTCTCTGAAGGCTAATACTAAGTACTGAGGCTAATACTCACCATTGCTCTGCTCAAACCAAGTACTAGAAAAAGATACAGTGAAATTGGATTTATCAGGGGAAATGGGGAAGATTTTCCTCTAAACAGACCAAGTTCTGCAGGGCAAACAATGACCATCACCAAGATGATTACAGCCATGGATGTATGAAGCACCTAATGTATTAAGGAGCAGATCAGCATCCCACCTGTTTTGAAATTCTGAGTGATGCTGCCACTTATTCTTTTCCACTGCAAGACACAGAAAAGGAGCATTTGCTAATGTACGCATAGATAGATGCTACAGTGACAGTATGAAAAAAATTTTCACCTGAGCTCTTGTAGTCCGCGAGGGGGCAAGCACCACCAATATTTAATCTACAAATTATAAGAACATTAAGAGTAAGGATGATAAATGAAAGCTAGTTTCCCCATCTGTACTTTAACTATATTGTTAATATTCTAGCTTAACTTATAAATATTTTAATCTTTATTATTTCTTCATTTTGTGAAGTAGGTAACAAAGTTAGTGATTTTATTGACCTTCTGTAGACTTGATTGTTTCCATTCAGTTTTAAAGAACCTAAATTAAACATCTGTTTAGTCATAAGTATTTTCCCTCTCTACAAGGGAGAAAATGGTGAAATCACATTCCTACCAAGACTCAGGCACCCTTTGAGGCACACAGACATACACACATATTCACATACATACACACATATAGAGAGTACACTCACAAATGCACTCATTGTTCACACTTAAACCATGGCACAACCTTATCCACTGCGTGCAGCTGGTTATAACATGAACAGGACTAAAATTATCTGACTTACTGACTTTCCCTCTATTTCAGCTAAAACAGCAGGTCAATGTTAAGTGAGAAGAAAAGCAGATGGGGATAGATGTTTTTAGATAGGTCCATTAAGGGATATCAAAGTCCAGGATGCAGCCGTAACTTCCAACCCTAATGGAAGACTGACAACATGTAGGATATTCCAGGAGAAACATCAACCTGCACTTCCTCTCTCCTCATATTCTAAGCCAAAGCACCCACTGCTACAGACATCACACCTGACCAGACAATCCTTCCCTCTGATCCAGGACAACCACTGCTAAGTCCTCTGTAGATCAAGTCTGTCCTCAGGACCTAGAACTGTACATGTCAGGGCAAGCGTCCTCATCAGCTACATAGAATCATAGAATAGTTTGGGTTGGAAGGGACCTTTAAAGGTCATCTAGTCCAACCCCCCTGCATTGAGCAGGGACATCACTAATCCTTGTGACCATAAATTCAACAGAAATGGCCTGCTCTCATCCATTTAGGTCTCACCGGCTATGAGGCAGGACATTCAGCTCAAGGCAAGCATGAGCTCCTCCATTAAATGTGGCTTGAGTCACTGTGAGTAGAGCTTTCAAGACAACACAAATAGGCTTAAAAACAGAAAAAAGTTTAGCTATATTTTGTTAGTTTAGGCTTAAGAACAGACAGAATGCCGTAAATAGCACAAATGAGCAACACCACCTCTGTCTAGTTTCCACCAACTGGCACTGAACAGCAGTTAACTCACAAAACCTTTCCTCCAAAATTCAGTGAAATTGCTCAGTTAAATGGGCCTCCTCTGTGTGAAGAGGTGCAAGGATCTGATCCAACATTAACAAACCAGAAAGAAATAGCTGCCAAAGGCAAGCTGGCTTATCTCTTTTCACTGACTTGGCCATCTGAATCTCCTTTTCAAAGGAGATCAATCTCCTTTATCAGTGCTGTACTGATTCTAGATGTGTTTGTATTACGTTTCATTTTCAGTCCTCCTGCATGGCCACATGTAAGACTCCAAAAAGAAGGAAATGCAGGTGGCCACCACCTCGCCCGTGGGTTCTGGCTCAACAGTCCTGCCTCCACAACAGGCAAATAGGATGCTTTGTAACAAATTTACAGTTCACCTCGCATCCTTACTACGCTGCATGTGTGATCCAACAAGTATGTATTATGCTTTACACCCTCAGACATGTCCCCAGAAGAGAGCACGGAGGTGAGCTGTTGATGTCAGTGGTCTCAAACAGTTCCAACATAATGCCAACTTCTGAATTGCATCCTACAAGATTTTCCCCAGATACATGTATTAATTTAAACTTATTTACCAGTTCAGACTTTTCTTGAAGCTTTCTTTGCTTTCTTTGAAGCACCATAATTGAAAACTTACTTAGAGACTTGTCTTTCAATAGCTTTTTGCTTAACCTGCACGTAGTCAGATGTCAGAAAGCACAGTTCTCAAACTGCAAGTATGCTGCTGGTATACAGCTGGTCTCAAAAGGTAGCAGTGACTTTAATTCACAAGTTCCCATTTCTTCAGGAAAAAGGAGGTAATTTTTGAATTTGTAACACTCCCTCTCAGTTAGCAGCTTCAGTACTCTATGTATTATCACCAAAGTATTCCTCCAGCATCACTAAAGTGCAGAACCCTACAGTCAAAATACCTATATTGAAAAAACACACAACAAATATTCCTTTTATAATACATACACACTTCCATTGCCAAACCTGTCAATCCTCCAAGGATTAGTAGGGGTCATAAAAAAATGGCTTCTTTATCAGCTGAGAAGTAAACTAAACATCCAAAAGGTCTTAAGAAGGTATGATTCATGATGTCTTGTAGTTTTCTGACGTAAGCCATAGTACTCAAAACTGTATATATAGACACCAGCCATTCACACAACACTATCACTGGAGCCAGCCAACTTCATCTGATCCACTGACCAGCTGTTCAACATGCAATCCAAAGGTAACACAGATGCTTTAATGTTACCTCGACTAAATTTCATAACAAAAATCATTTGCGGTATGGCTGTAGACAGCATGACTGTGAATGGGAAAGAAAAACTTTCTTCCACGGTGAGAGTGGTCAAGCGCTGACATAAGTTGCCCAGAGAGGTTGTGTATTCTCCATCCTGGGAGATGCTCAAAACCTGACTGGACAGTCCTGGACAACTTGCTCTAGCTGACGTTGTTTCAGTGTGTCTGGGTAATGGACTAAATCTCCAGAGGTCCCTGCCAACCTCAACCATTCTGAGAGTCTGAAAAAAGAGCATGTGACAAGAACTACTCAGAGGAATACCAATGCTCTGCTGCTATGCCTGTTGCTTAAAACAAAAAATTGCAAAAGGCTTCCATAAGCATTGTTAGGAAAGAGTAATGTTAGGGAGAGGTAAAATCAAAGACAAAAGTAATGAGAAGTAAAATGCTGACAAGATCTCAAAGCACAGACAAGGCAGCAGGAAGCAGAAGCATAGCAAGCTTTATTCCATAATGACTTATCCTGACCATGTACATGAGCAAGTAAGATACAGAGATGACAGTTAAAGTCACACCACAAGCCA